ATCGAAAATGATGAGAAGTAATTAAAATGATGAAAAGTAATTTTTTTTAGAAGGATTCTTATTATATGAATATTTTTTTGAATAATTTGTATTTTTCAATTATTTTTGAAATTAACGATTTTTATATTATTATTGTAACAATAGTAATTCTCAGTGAAACCCACTATTCAGAATCACTATAACATATTTTTGGTGCTCTCTCTGTGGATATTAAAATTTCACACCTTTTTATATATTATTATTATTTCCTTTATAACTTTTTATATTTATTCAAATATTTGAAAATAATTGTGTTTTGAATTTTTATAACCAATTATTATTCATTTGTTGAATTACTTATTGATTACCATTTAGACATATATAGAAATCCTGATCAAATTTCCTTACAATACTTTTGTCCTTTTTGTCATCCTCTTCAAAAAGTCTTTTCACTTAAATTTTTACCTTCCATATTATAATTGAAAATATTGAAGCAGTCTTTTTAAATCAAATCACATATTTGTTATTTAACAAATTAACTCAAATCGACTTTGAAGAAGTACACTCTACTTGACTCAGACAAAGAATAGTCCAATTATTAAATACTTTATTATTTGATTGAGTAACTACTCAAGAAGAACAACTTGAATTAATAGAACACTTTTACTAATGATTTATCATACAAGACTTTTTATTACAAATTAATTCAAGAACACCTAGTCATAATAGTAAAATCAATGAATACTATTCTGAAACCAGAAACTCAGAAGACATACTATCTTCAGAACAAATTATATTAGATTCAGAATCTGAAAATAACTCAGAATCAGAAGAAAATGCTAAAATAATCGAAGAAGAAAATAATAATCAAATGGTTAATATTAATGTTTTAGTTATAACTCTTGGAACCTTAACTGATAGAATGACTGAACAAATTAATCATCTAATCATTATTCCTATTTGAAAATATCATGAAAATGATCATGATTCTACAAAATGATTAAAAGACTTTAACATTGCTACCCAAGCCAATAGAATTCATCAGCAAATTTCTGATATGGTTGGAAATCGATTGCCAACCATATTTATTGGCAATCGATTACCAACACCCCCACCGATTATTATCGATTGTTGATTAATTGATAATAATCAGTTTTTTTATTATCGTATACAAACAATAGAAATTGTTTCCTATCATTTTCTATCGTTTACAAATGATTGCTATCATTTGTAAACGATAATAAAAAAACTGATTATTATCGATTAATCAACGATCGATAATAATCAGTGGGAGTGTTGGTAATCGATTGCCAATGAATATGGTTGGCAATTGATTTCTAACTGTATCAGAAATTTGCTGATGGTAGAAGGAAGAAGAAATTGGTTATAACAGTGAATGAGAAGATGAAGGATCTCGAAAAAGAAGCTTACGATTAACTGAAGAAAAAAAAAAGACCAGCCAATCCTGTAAAAAAAATGGGTCATTTTTGATTTGGAAAATTTCTGATTTTTAAGTCTGAGAATTTCTGGATTTTTTTCTGATTTCTAATATCTAATTTAAATCTGGAAATTCAATGATTTTATTAACAAATTTCCAGAAAAATATCTAATACTTTCTGTAAGGATACTTGTCTAAATTCTTTCAGAAAAATCGTCATAATTTCGACAGGTTACACACTAATTATTAATTAGAATTTCGACATAATTTTGGTTACAATGAGTTTCAAAATTTGTCAGAATTTCGATGTGTTATTTACTAATAGTTTATTATAATTTCGACAGAATTTAGATAGTCACTAAGGAATTTCAGCAAGCAACCTTAACTTTCTGGAATATAGTCAAAATATATATGCAAGTCAAACAGGATCTTTTTTTATTTTTTTCAGAATAGAGTCAGAATATATAGACAAGTTAGATGAGATCTTTTTTTATTTTTCTGGAATATAATTAGAATATATATGTAAATTAGACAGAATTTTTCTGGAATAAAGTCAGAATTTATATACAAGTTAGACAGGATCTTTTTTTTATTTTTCTGAAATAGAGTCAGAATATAAGTGAAAGTTAGACAGATATAAAATATATTTATTATTATATAATTATAGATTATGCTCTAAATGTTCTAAATGTTCTATATATTTACATTTGAATGTTCTATTACTTTTATAATAATTGGAGAAATTTCGGAATTGTAATGGAGAAATGTCAGAATTGATGGTAGAGAAATATCATAATTGTAGTGGAGAAATGTCAGAATTGATGATAAAGGAATTTCAGAATTGTATTGGAGAAATATCAGAATTGATGGTAGAGGAATGTCAGAATTGTAGTGGAGAAATGTCAGAATTAATGGTAAAGGAATGTCAGAATTGTAATGAAGAAATGTCAGAATTGATGGTAGAGGAATATTGAAATTAATGATAGAGGAATATTGAAGTGTGAGTTAAAAAAAGCTGGAATATTAAATAAAAAAAGTCAGAATAAAATAATGAATAAAAAAGTCAGAATAAAGTTGGTATAATGAATAAAAAAAGTCAGAATAAAGTTGGTATAGTGAATAAAAAAAAGCCAGAATAACGAACAAAAAAAAAGTCAAAATATTAAGTAAAAAAAGTCAGAATAAAATTGGAATAATGAATAAAAATGAAGTAGTGGTAGGAAGACATTTGTCGGAGCCAAACTGACAGAAACCTAATCTAAAAAAAAAGCAAATACCACAAAAGTCATTATTTAGATAAACTGTCAATTTCTCTTACTTATTTTGTGTATTTCTTTCTTTTATTGAATACTCTTCGGAATGAGTTACAACTCTTCTATTACTACCACCACCTCTCCTAGTTTCCTCATCTCTTCCTTTTCTAGCTTCCTCTTCCCTTCCATATTTCCGTCTAGCCTTTGCTTTTCAAGGCTTGATTTTGGTCTCTAATAAAAAAGGAACAAAAACAGAATAAAAAAGGAATAAATAATTACTTAACTTACCTTTAACTCTTTTTTTTTCGAAATAATATAATTATCATCATCATTATCATCGTCGTCATCATCATCGTTGTCATCTTCCAGTTTGTCATCCATTTGCTCTTCCAGTTTGTCTTCTTCCCATTCATCTTCCGTTTCTTCTTCTCACTCATCATCATCTATTTTTGCTTTCAGATAATTTACAATAAAAAAAATAACTAAATATGATACATTTATAAAATACCTTCAATCTCAATTATTTCCAGTTTTTTAGCAAACCTTGATGTTGGTGTTGTTGGTGTTGGTGTTGATGATGTTGGTGTTGATATTGATGGATGGTGATTACTTCTTGGTGAAATGAAAGATGACTGGTTACTTTTTGGCAATATTTTTTTTGGTGGTGATCAGGTGACTACTGTGGGAGATAATGACAAACTGGCGATTTTTGGTGGTAATGTTTCAGCTCTCGTTGAACTTTCAGATTTTTTTGATGTTGACGCCACCAGTTCTTCTTCTTCTTCTCCGTATATGACCATAAACCACGTTAACACCTCATCCGTCGGTAACGTAAGCAAATATTCGTTTAATTTTCTATCAGACATCCTTCGGAGTTCTGATAGTTTTTTCGCATATTGTTAAATATCTGAACTCTGATGAAGATCTTTATGGCTGAATTTTCATTATCAGCATGGTGAATCTTCATCAAAGCTGGATTTTTGGCATCAGCGTGGTAGTGGTGATACTGCTTTTGAATTCTTTTTTGGTAATGGTAACAATCTCTTCTCTTTCACCTTTTTTACTTGATTTTTACGTAGTTTGTTGCACCAGTTACTACAAATTGCTTTTAATATCTCATTTAATAGAAAGTCACCTTCCGAGTGTGGAAAGATCAGATTATTCATTTTAAACTAAAAAAAGAATAAAAAAAATTAAAATAATTGGATGTAATTTTTC